TGCCTACGAGTGCCGTTTAGACGAGCCAGTTTTTGGCAGCACGCTATCAGCAATTTGTCATTTGGAGAACAGTTTCGTGCCAAAGTTCATCAGAACAGTGACAGAGTTGATAGAAAGCAGAGGATTGGAAATTGATGGGTTATATCGGTAGGCAATCCCTTTATGCAGCATTTCGTTATTACCTTATCTCACATCTTACCATGCTGTGAAGATTCCTTTCAAGCTTATGTTATCACATCCTTAGAACGTCATCTGTCGTCATCATCACCTTAGAAAAACCCATTACTATCAACGGTTTTCAAAGAATAACATGTTACTAGTAATGTTTATCAAATGCATATCTTGTCATTTGGCGTATCCTCTTGAGCATTTCCGGTCTACTATCCTGAGTTTGCAAGATATCTCTTCAGCAAAAAGAAAGGTTTATCATTCTAGAGTAAGCGGCAACTTATCAGCTGTTCAGCGGATTCGATGTCAAGTGGATCAAGGTTCAATTTTCTTTCTGTTCCTCAGACTTACACTGAATTTTTAAATTTTCTTTTTTTCAACAAAACATGTGTTTAAATTTGCTTTCTTCAGACAAGTACAGCGCACTAGTCAACGAAGAAGACGTGCATGTGTTGACAGGTGCATTGAAGCTGTTTTTTCGCGAACTTGCTGAGCCGGTGTTCCCTCCGTCATTGACCAAAGATTACTTGAATGCAATCAGTAAGTGATACATTTTCGAGAAATGGCAATTCTTATTGCTTCTTGGTTGCTGTGCCAATTAACTGTGCGAAAACGCCGAAAAGCCGTTTGGTAAAGTGTCCAGATGGCAGATGGCAAAGTAGTTGTCTACACATACAGGTGTTAGCAATGACGGTGACACTGCGCTATTTTATTGTTAGACGAAATGTGTTTGCTTTCGGTTTGTGTGCTTTCGTGCTAAAAGAATTCTATGTGGGCATCTGTCAGATAGTGTAGAAATAAATAAAGGGTAATCAAATGATATAAAGATGGTTTGATATCTTAAAGTTACTGAATGTTTGTTTTCTCTTTGTTTTGACTTGCTGTATCTCAATTTCTAAACCAAAATTTTAGAACTACAAAATCCCAAGCAACGATTCAAGCGCTTTGATGAGCTCCTCAAATTGTTACCACCGGAAAATCGAGAGACACTGAAGATGTTGTTGCGGCACTTGCAAAGGTTTATTATCTTTCTTATCTTTCTATGGCCGCTTCATGTGCTTGTTAGTTATCCTCGCGCTAAGTTGTAAAATAAGGGGCACATTCACAATGCATTTTCAGGACGCGGTAGGCTTGCGGCGCACTGCCACTAGCATGTGTGTAGACCATCAAAGTTCAATTTTTCTCGAATATCGCTGGACAGCTAGATACATGCCAAATTCTCAGATTTCACCGCAACAGCTTGAGCCCCTTGATTGCACATGCTTACAAGGATGCCTATCCATGTTTAGTAAAGTTAAAAGCTGTTATAGAAAAAAAAGCTAGCTGAAAGAGACTAGACAAGTTTTCAAATGTTCTGATGAGGAAACATTGATTTGATAATATAATATCCAAAATTTCGTACTATCATGGGAGAATCACATTATGGGTTCTTATATATCCCATTTTGTTACCTCGTTTGACACTTATCTTCTATTCTGAATGGCAGACACGGACATTTTTGAAAAATACTCACGAAAAATTTTTTATTTATAAGTTGCGCCTTCTTAAGGAGTAAGTAGCCCTCGAATTTATTGCTACCAGAGTAATTGGTGTATAACAGCAGTTTTAAAAGGGTGGGGGTGGAGAGGAGAAGAAAAAAAGAGGTTGGTGGGGTTTTTTGATGATTGGTACACTGTTTGGAAATATCTGAAGAAGGATGAAAATCTTGGAAGAATGTTAAGGCGAAACCAATTCATTGATGGTTTAATGTCATTTATAGAGAGAAATTTGAAGAAGTGACTGCGAGTATTGCTGATAAAAGCCAAGGGTAGCTTTTTAGGGTAGCATCGCATTCGGACAAAAATCGAATGCAGACGCATAATCTCGCTATAATGTTTGGTCCTACTCTATTCAACAGTGGAGATGAAAAGACGATAGCAAAGAAGAAGGATGCTGGGAAGAAAAAGAAAGATCAGAAGAAGGTGAGATTGTTAGGACTTCTTTCTATAATTCTCAAAATTAACTTCTCGAATTTCTTATGACACATTTGAAGTCATGGGCCTGTTTGGTATATATGTTCAAATAATCATCATTTGGCACCACTAACCTACCAGTAACATTCCTCATGTGTACTAAGCATTTTGAGCCTAAGAAAGTTTGTTTTGGAACTCTAACTTGAACGTGTTAGATGAAAATTTTAACTTAAAAATAAGTGGAACATCATCCTTGGGCCAATTGATCCTCTGCTTCTCCGAAGTTCTAACTGGAATTTCTTCTTTTGTAGGAAGAAGCACCACCTGTTCAATCCAATTCCCACATGGCTTTCAACATGATCATGCAGGGACAGATTGTGGAATATCTGCTAACAGAGCAGAATAAATTCGAAGCTCTACAAGGTCCTGTACAGACGCATCCGCACTAAACACTTGGAATGAGCCAAGAAGTGCCAAATTTTTTTTT